TATTGACCTTTTCCCAGCATTGAAATCATATTTCCTTTCAATTGATGAATGTCCTATCAGTCTAAAAGCAAGAGATAACAGTAATTGAAGTAAACAAAAACAAACTTATGAAAAAGTTAAATTGCAGGAAGGCAGAAAAGTTTCTTATTACTACTGTGAGAAATCAGTTGCAAGAGTTAGAAAAGAAGAGCACATAACAGTTGAAAAATTTGAAAGTTATGCAATAGATTTCTATGACACTTGCATTGAATACATTCAGGAATAGTATCACACCATTTCTCATGCCTCTGCAGTCTATGGATTGGGTCAATTTGAAGAGAAAGGAGCCTATGACTTGAAAGAATATACAAGAAAGCTACATATTTATGAAGAAAGTGTCACCAAATTTTACTGTGAATGAAGAGAACTTATTTGATGAATTTGCATGTGTGAAAAAATATTGTGAAAGCAAATTTGGAGTATGGAATGAACTGAAAGATTAAAGTATCAGTCAAAAATGGTGTGATATATTGGCTCATTTTACAAAGCAAGATATAAATGTTGAGAATCTAAAATGCCTAGTTAGTTTTTGTTTGGCACTGCTAGGATCCAATGCAGCAGTTGAATGTTCATTAATAAATGCACTGTGGACAGATGAAAAAAACAGATTTAAAATTGAAACAATGAATGCTTTAACCATTTAACAACTCATTTAAGGATTTTACTTGTGCTGAGTTTTATGTCCAAATATCATAAGAAAAAATATTTTTTGAACAGGTCCATAAATCTGATAAATCTAAAATATAAAATTTGACTATTATGTATTTTTTAAAGCTGTAACTTTTCTAATTGAGTGTGTTTGTAAGTATTTTTTTGTAATATAAATGTTTTTGCAAAAATAAATTCAACTTTAAAAAAATATAACAATATACACATTAACGTAATGTCTTATCAGTATGTTATTTAAAGAGCAACATATATTATTTATCAGATTTCCTTTTTCATTTTCTTCATTTTTTACATGTCTCTTTTTTTTTAACATATGGCTTGGTTGAGCCTTGTTTTTCTTTTTGTTTCTCTTTCTTCCACCATTTTTCTTTCATAAACTTCACTTCTGGCTTTTGTTCTCTTAACCTTACCGTGATTGGTTTGTGGCGGTACGCCATGCCTATGTACAGTATGGGTTAGATATAAGTTTTATATTAATCTAAATCCTTTGTCTTTCACATCTCTGTTTCTAGAATTTTCTCACTTATTCTTTTTCTACGGGTGGGGGCAACCTTTGTCCAAGGATGAAGGGAGGAAACAAAGGAATACAAAGAAGCCCTGAGGGCGTCAGGGAAAGAGAAAGACATTTGCCGGACAGTGTCCGAGGAGAGCAGACGAAGAAAAGGACAAGTCGAAGATGTCGCCGAGTGGGACAAAGAACAGACTTGAGGTCGTCTGAGGACAGACAAACTGGACGGACGCCAAGATTGAGGGCTTTGAGAACACCTTGAATTTTCAAGAGCTGGTACAGAAAGGAACTGAGAGGAAGGCTAATTGAGCACAAGTTCCAACGCAGAGAAGACTGGAGACTTTCGAAATACCCAGGTACCCACCAATCTTCCCTTTATACTTTTCTTATCCCCTTCGTATGTCTTCCTTTCACTCTTCTTCTTTAGTATGTAAGTTAGGTTAAGGTTGTTTAAGTTAATTGTAATATTACAGAGATATCTCTTAAAGTAAACCTTTTGTTTTCCGCGAACATGTGTCACCTGCCTTTGTAAATATAAAGGATATATCGGGCTGTGTTTGAAATATACGGACAAAATAGCTTAGGATCCTAAAGAACCGGGTATATGTAGGACCACATGAAAAAACAAATAAAACCCTTTTTTATTGTTACAACTTTGTAATTTATTGTTCGTCCTCTACACACCACAGGTTGACCCAATGGTCTGATGGGTCTCTAGGGGAAAGGGGGCACTGGATTGGTCAAAGGGGACTGGTATGAGAGGATAGAGAGAGGAAAGTGGAGAAAATCATCATTTTTTGGGAGAGAGGAGCTGGAAAGGAGAGGACCTACATGTCAGTGAGTAATGAAAAGAAGACCCATCTGGAATAAAGAACTCTAGGTTTATTTTTGCCAGTCATCCCCTTTTGGCCGTTTTCTTTTTCTGTCTAAATCAAAATCTTCTAATTCTTATCTCAACCCCATCTTGAGCTGGGGTGCTTTATTTTGTAAAATTAGTTAAGATATAGTTAAGCTAGACATAAATTAGATTTTTAAGACCTTTGTTTGTTGGCATGTGAGACTCAATCGGTAGTATTGTTAAGGTTGGTCCAACTATTTTTGTATTCGCTAGTTTGTAAGTTGTGTACAATTATTTTTTCAGAAACTATTGTTATTAATTGTAAATATTAAACTTTTAATTTATCAATATTGAGCAATTCTTCGGACTCAGTTATTTGCTCATGGCTACAAACAAAATGTAGGAATGTCCCAGTTTTTTAAAAAAACATTATGGGAACCCTAGTGTAGAGCTACTATAGGGTAAAACCTCTATAACTTGCTACTGATATTCTGTATTGTTCAAAAGATGATATTCTGTATTGTTCAAAAGAAAACAAAATAACTTGCATTTAAAACAAAATAAACTTGAATCATCATGCATTTAAAACAAAATAAACTTGAATTTATTACTAAATTGTTTGAAGACAAGGAAAAATGAAATAAAATACTATTTTTTAACTTGAATAAAAAAGTTAATTTTGAGAGAGTTCAAAGAAAAACAGGTTAGATGTGGAAGTTACAGTATTGTTTGCATGTAAGTAGTAAACTAATACATTTACCACTTAAAAGTGATAACTCCATTAACATTCTACTTTTTGCATTGTTCCATTTTGTTTTAACTTACCTAAAGGTCTTTAAAAAAGACCGAATAGGTTAGTAAATTATTTTTTCTGCTTTTTACAATGCCTTAAGAGTTTGGGAAAATTAATATATATATGTATGTTTGATTTTCTGTTTAAAAACAATATTACACATATTTAAAAATATTCTATATTAAAAATCCAGTATTTTTAAAAATTTTTGATCTGATCAACTTTCATTTTGAATTAAAATTATTTTTATTTATTAAATTTACCATGAGATAGTAGCTTAACTGCCTAACTCTAATTCAAATTATTTACAAGAGATGGTTTTTTCATGTCAGTCTTATGTTTTAATAAAAGATATATTGTTTTACAGAGCAGGGGTTCCCAAAGTGGGCACTGCCACCTCCTGTGGATGGTGAGTAAATCTAGGGGTGCTGGAGGCAGGGTACTAAACAGTGACTATAGACAAAGGTTGGGATCACTGACAACTGTTCTCTTTCCTCTGATAAAACAGGCAAGATGAAGCATTGCATTTAATGGTTTCCAGATGTTCTGAACAATGTTTTATAAGGACACAAAACATAAAGTTCATAGAAAACTTTTCCTAAGAATATTTCCAAGTCTTTCTCACACAAGGGAAAATGGATTAGGGAACGTTGGGAGTATGGTTGGGGGCATTGGGTATAACTTTATAGAACCAAAGGGCAATGGCTTGAAACAGTTTGGGAATTGCTGATATAGAGGAAAAAATAAGACAATCCATATTTTTTTTCTTTTATATATCAGGTGAGCTGTCTAAGAGAAATAGAATTTTAAATGTATTCCTGTATTCTTTAAATGGCCCTACAACCAGAAATCACACGTGAGAGAATTTGGTGGCCAGGCAATTGGAAATAAACAACTATTTATCTTCACAAATGTCAGATATGGTAGCTGTTATATACAATTGGAATGTATGTCTCTTTAATCCGAATAAATGCAACATGATAGACTTCCAAAATGCATTTGTGAATTGCAATAAAGGAGTACCTAACCTGATAGCTGAGAGGAAGTCTACCGTGTTGCATTTATTTGGATTAAAGAGACATACATTCCAAACTATTTATCTAGTGATTGGTGAAATGTTGGCATAAAACCTGCCGTATGTGTCCAATATGGAAATGCATTGTCCTGCATAAATGTTACAGATGCAAGGCATTGTTGCTGTTGAAGTTGGGGTACAACAAAGTTTAAAGCATGTCATGATATCTGTGGGCCATCACACATGAACATGTTACAGAGCCATTTTTTCATGCATTTTCCTGTAAAGCGGTCTTTGAACTATAATTTTTTACAAAATCCTTTTCCACATCCTTTGCATAGTCTGTATACAAATTTTGGTGTCAATCCACTTATCAGTTTCAACTACAAAATGTTCTGAATACGGAAATTTTAATTATGGCCACCCAGTATACTTAAATTAGATCTATTCTAGAATTTTGCATTAATCCTTGCAATCAAAGGAAGCAATTTTATTGTGTAACATATATAATTGTCAAAGATTAATTTAGAGAATTTAAATATTAAAATTTTCATTTAACTATTAGAAGTAAGAACACTGCTTCAAGTGGACAATTAGAACAAGTATGGAAAGAAAAGATTTTTATTAGAAAAAACACATTTTTTAACCACATTCAAAAATTTACTGGGCTACATAGGTTTTAAGTAAATATTTTATTCTAAACTTAGTAATGGAAACTATGAAATTAAACATTTTTATAATTCTCTTTAAAATTTTAAGATTAAAATAAATTTTAATGATATAAACAGCTATTTAATATAATTTTAAACAGAAAGGTTTAATAATATCTTTCACATTATATTAAATGTAATAAGTGTTTTCAAAGCATTTAAATTAAATTTTATATTGAACTTTTGTAATAATTTAACTTGGCTTATAATTTGCATCAATTAAACATAATACCATTCATACAATAATTCAAAAATAATTGATATCATAATGATGAAATATTTTATTTCATCATTATGGTATACATTTTGATTTGTTTCAGTTATATATGTAGTCAAAAATATAAATTCAAAATACATAATAATTCAAATATTTAATATATTTATTTAAAAAACAACAAAAATTACTAATTATTTCCAATCACACTTACTTGAAATTTAAATTTTTAAATGAAAAATGAACCTCTACAATTCCTGTGGTTTTAACTCTTGTTCTCAAAATATCTTGTTCTGTTGGCATATAATCCTTTTTGCCCAATCTATCCAAATCATCCAGGAAACTGAAAATAAAAAAAGTTTATTAGAATATATCACTTCATACATGTGACCTATTTCCTCACAAAATCTTAAAAAATATATATATAAATGAATTCCTTTTATATATATGATATATGATTCAAAATATACTCATTTAGGCATCATTTTCATTTTCAAACTAGATTAAAAATTATAGAAAAATATTCAATTATTATATATTTGGACAATTTATTTTGAAAAAATTAAAAAGAAATAATTTCTGCTTTAAGATTCTGTTAAATGTCCATATATTAATACATGTAATCATAATTAGTGATATTTGTTACCCTTAACAAGTCGATTAATATATCTGCATTAAAATAATAAGGGCAACAATATGCAATTTTTATGAGTTTTGCTTTTATCCAAAAATAATAGAATCTATTATTACTGAATTCTTATACACCATCATAGAATCATAAAAAAAAATTCTATCTATACAAAATAAAATGTTATAATTAAATCCCTCTGTTTTAAATAAATCAACAACAAAAATTATTTTTAATGGTAAAAAGAGTTTTGAATTAAGAATAAAGAAAAAAGTTAGATTAAAAATTTAAACATTAAATGATTTATTAAATATACAAAAACAAAATAATAAAACTGAATGGTTTTTAAATGGCATGAAATATAAAAATGCTTTTTCTAAATACTTGATAAGTATTCAAAGCTTAAAATCATTTACAATTTAGTAATAAATCATGTTTTAAAAAAACTGGTGTTTTCAGTTTATCAGATATATACAAAAATCCAAATTTAAAGACTAAGAATTAAAATGAAGAAACTTTTCTATTTTTATTTCTTTACCTCAATTCATAATATAAATATAAAAATTAACTAGTTGATATAAAAAACTCTAAACCACATTAAATATTAATTAATATTTCAAATTCTAAGTTATAAAATTAATTTTTCATTTTAAATACACTGCTATTATCTTAACTATAGGATAACTGTCATTGGTAGAATTGTGAAAAACATTCACTTTTGTTTTTTTTATTAAGATTATGGCTTGTTTTAGATATGAGAGATCCTAAGATCACAACTTCACAAATAAAACACAGAATGATTTTTAGAGCCTTTTCTTTGGACAAAACTTGCATTTTATATACCATAAAATACAGTAATACTTGATACAGGTTAATTTATTATTCCTAAATAACTCTTCGAAGCTATTAGATTTTTTTTTGTCTAAATGGCTACCAAATTTACTTTGCAATTATTTGGTATTTCTATTTCATAAGATGAGTATTAATTTTAGCTAATTTTCAAATTAAGGTCTGAATGGCACAAGGAATAAGCAGTAAGGACACCTCTTTAATTTCTATAATTTAAAACTCAGCATTCCAAAAGTCAAAAATTGTCAGAAATTTTAGTTTTAATTTAAATATCTAATGATAGAAATATCTTCAAATCAGATTATTCTCTTTTATTCTATAATTATATTCTCTCTAATGTATTTAATATAACATTTTTATAAAGAAAATTAAAGTTATTAATATATTTTCTAAATTAATAAATGCTAATTTACAACTGGTTAATATTAGACAANTGATTTATTAAATATACAAAAACAAAATAATAAAACTGAATGGTTTTTAAATGGCATGAAATATAAAAATGCTTTTTCTAAATACTTGATAAGTATTCAAAGCTTAAAATCATTTACAATTTAGTAATAAATCATGTTTTAAAAAAACTGGTGTTTTCAGTTTATCAGATATATACAAAAATCCAAATTTAAAGACTAAGAATTAAAATGAAGAAACTTTTCTATTTTTATTTCTTTACCTCAATTCATAATATAAATATAAAAATTAACTAGTTGATATAAAAAACTCTAAACCACATTAAATATTAATTAATATTTCAAATTCTAAGTTATAAAATTAATTTTTCATTTTAAATACACTGCTATTATCTTAACTATAGGATAACTGTCATTGGTAGAATTGTGAAAAACATTCACTTTTGTTTTTTTTATTAAGATTATGGCTTGTTTTAGATATGAGAGATCCTAAGATCACAACTTCACAAATAAAACACAGAATGATTTTTAGAGCCTTTTCTTTGGACAAAACTTGCATTTTATATACCATAAAATACAGTAATACTTGATACAGGTTAATTTATTATTCCTAAATAACTCTTCGAAGCTATTAGATTTTTTTTTGTCTAAATGGCTACCAAATTTACTTTGCAATTATTTGGTATTTCTATTTCATAAGATGAGTATTAATTTTAGCTAATTTTCAAATTAAGGTCTGAATGGCACAAGGAATAAGCAGTAAGGACACCTCTTTAATTTCTATAATTTAAAACTCAGCATTCCAAAAGTCAAAAATTGTCAGAAATTTTAGTTTTAATTTAAATATCTAATGATAGAAATATCTTCAAATCAGATTATTCTCTTTTATTCTATAATTATATTCTCTCTAATGTATTTAATATAAAATTTTTATAAAGAAAATTAAAGTTATTAATATATTTTCTAAATTAATAAATGCTAATTTACAACTGGTTAATATTAGACAAAAATAAAAACTGCAAAAATCTAACAAACCAGTGATAAAATTATACACAGTGTGAATGATTTCACCTGTGTTAAACGGGTATCATCAGGCAACAAAGAGTTTGACTGATAATAACGGGTTAAACGAGTGAAAGCATTTGCACTTTATATATAATTTTATCACTGGTTTGTTAGGTTTTTGCAATGTTTATTTTCGTCTATATTTTCTAAATAATTATCATTAATTTTATTATAAACAGTTTGATTACTAACAAGTCCTTTTTTTCCACTCAGTGAGAACTAAGAGTGCCACTTTTTAGCAAGCATATTATAGGTTCAGCCCCACCCACAATGGGATGGCTGGGTGGTGAGGGATGAAGTCTGATATATCTGAACAGACTATACCAAAAATGGAGTTTTTCAACCCATCTGGATTTGATTTCTGGTCCCGAGAGTGGTATGCTGACATCCTAATCACTTGGCCATCCAGCTATAAATTAACAAGTTATTATAATGGATAACTTACAGAGAAAATGCCTCCTTATAATTTAGAATATAATAGCCTAGTTCCCTCTTTTTAAAACTGAAGTCAGTTACTGGTAGCTTTATCAATCACACATTTCTTACAGCAGAAATTATCCAGAAATTTTAAAACTTTAGAATTAAAATAAAATTAACATGGTATATACTTACTGTATATATATATGTATATATATATATATATACTTAAATATGGTATTAGAAAAGATTATTCATTTTGTTCTATTTATTACTGTTTAACATTATAAATTTAGCAATTTTAAAGCATTTTTGAGGCCCATAGCACAATTTCTTTAAAAATAATTGCAGAAACATATATAAAGAAAACTATTAGTAATGAGTAGCAAGATGAAGGTAAGGTTTGGCCTTGGCCAGGTATGTCCATGTTTTTATGTGACCCTAATTAGGAACCCATTTTACTACAGTAATATTTAAAATACAATTAGCATGTATATATCTAAATATTAGAGAAGATCAATTGTTCATTCTATTTATTACTGCAGTGAAACTTCCATTAACAGACACTCCTGAATAGTGGACACTTCTACTTAATAGACATTTTTACAATCCTAGATCCTTCAAATAGGATATCTGTTATATTTATCTCTAAATAGCAGATGCTGTCATCCACAACTAACCTAAGAAAAACATAATGTACCATCTTCAATTTTCTGAAACAATTAATTACCTATGAAATATTTTAAAACAAAGTCACAATTCAAATACTCTTTCGGATGATGAATTTTGACCATATGCATTAAATAAAAACTACCTGAAAATAGGAATATGGAAGAAGGGCATGTTGTAAAAAGCTGAACAATACTCTATTTATTAGAAAAGACTATTAATTAGAAAAGAATAATGTCAATCACCATTTATTGTCATATGTGAGGCTGGGACCACACCCCCCCGGACGGAAACTGGCTGTCGAGCTAAAGTCAATATATCAGTGACTTATTACATAAATGGGACTGGTGTGACCAAGGAACGGGATGCGAGACAATATAATTGTTGCATTCCAAACCTAATTGACAGATCCGCGATCATCAATTGTGAGAACGAGAGAGGGATCGTCCGCCGGGTAACTTTGGACGGTCACCTTACAGAGAGTTCAAAGCGAGACCTGCTGACACTCCTGTAGAGGGGGCGGTGCTGGGACAGCTGCATCTTCTCAGGGACAGAAAAATAGACATTAGGTAAAATTTACGGGTCCGTCATCCGGGAAAGGGCTTGACCCAACTCCGGAGGGAAACGGCCCGGATGGGGATATTTGGTGACCCCGTGGCCTGAATTGCGTCCCTGGCAACAGACCAGGGACCAATAGAATCGAAGGGGACCAGCATTCGGACCAACCAAAATCTCAGGATTTTGGGAAGAAAAAGGTTATAAAAGCCCAAAATCCCAAGGACACGGGGAGGTTGCAAGGTGATGTTTGAGAGCGTCAGTCCAGGAGACCTGAGGCAACGAAGGATTCCAAGCTCCGAAAGCTAGAACAGACTTTCCTGTGACGGTTCTCCATCCTTCCAACTTCCAAGACTGTGCCGGAGACGAACCTTCTTTGGACCATTGCCCAGTACCAACGGAGATAAAACTTTCTACATGTGGACCCATAATCGTTGAGACAACTCTCTCTCTGCAGTGCAGGACCTACCTCCCTGGGATGTGTTAACCCCTTTTAAAAAGAATTTTTTTTTTTTAAAAAAAAAAAATTTGTTAATTTTGTAAATTCGGTCTTTGTGTGAGTCTCTCTGCATCCTGCAAACCACTACCCCCATATGGAAAGGGCTTTCTTGCATCATCCTGACCAATCACGGGCAAAGCGAGTGTGTTCACCTTTAACTGAAAGGTCAACACTTCTCCACAGTGGTGTCTACCACTCCTTGTCCCCACACATATGTATTAATGTCATTAAACTTGTGTGTTATTGTTGGAATTAAGTTTAAGGTACCAAGAAA